CCAGTTCACTCTCAATGACCTCTACGCCCTTGACCTGCACAAGATGGAAGAATGGAAAGTCCTTGTGGAGATGGACCCAAGTAAGTTGAACTTTCTCCTTACGCTGCGCAATGGAGAGCTTGGAAAAGTTACTTTTTTCAGACTACAATTCCCAGAAACCTCTAGATCCTGGGAGATGTAATTCCATACTTTGTAAGCCTAGGTGCGGTTGCAAAATCTATGGTTGGTTGATATAAATATATATATACTGTAACTGGAGAAGCATGACTCTCTACATTGGGGGTTCCCAAACCTTGATTCCTCCAGATGTTTTGGACTTCAGCTCCCAGAATTCCTGACCGCTGACCAAGCTGGCTAGGGCTTCTGGGAGATGAAGTCCAAAACACCTGGAGGACCAAAGTTTGGGAAGCACTGCTCAACATCATCGCTCTACCCCTAATCTGGGAGTCACAGCCCTTTCCCTTCCCTCCCCAGTGATTGTCTATGGGTTGTGCGTAGGAGTTGCCCTTGCACAACCAGGGGAAGAAAAATAAGGGCTGAAGCTGTGTCTTTGTTTTTGGATGCCTAAAGACAGCCTGATGGGTCCTGGGTGTACCCCCATGGCCTTAGGTTTAAATCTACTTCGCAATCTTAAAGTGTGTTGGTAAGTCAGGTTAATATTTGTGATTTTTAACATATGCTTAGGACTATTATAGGGTGTATGTGGTGTAATGGTTTGAGTGTTGGACTAGGACACTGGGAGACCAGGCTTTGAATCCTGGCTCGGCCATGTAAACCCACTGGGTGACCTTGGGCAAGTCCCACTCTCTCAGCCTCAGAGGATGGCAATGGCAAACTCCCTCTGAAGAAAATTGCCAACAAAACCCCATAATAAGTTGGGAATGACTTGAGAGTGTGCAACAGCAAACCTGAGGTTTATGCCAGTAGACACCACCAAAATCTGCAGCGACTGAAAACTGTTGAGAGGGAAAACAGGGAGCAACTGCAGAGCCCTTGCATCTTGTTGAAAGTCTAAGTCCAGGCTGATGACCTTTCTTGCAGCAGTTCATGAAGTTCACTGCCATCAGATGCATTCCTCGAAGCCTTCTGCTGTGAGACCAGCCGAGTTTAATTTTATCCAGTGACTGATGCTAGCTGAGGACAAAAGCCTATTTAGGATGACACAGAGACAGGTGACGGTGGTGCAGCCCGCAGCTGGGGACGGTTTTCATCCTAGAACTGTGAATGGCTTTAAACGTACTGTACAGACACACACACACACAAGCTAATTCTGGTCTACTTTAATCCCTGGGAAAACTTTTCTTCCCCTCCACCCCCTGGGGCTCTTAAGCCGTCTGGCCTTGTGCGTGTCTGTATCTTACAGTGTTAGACTTAATCGGACCAGCGTCATCGCAGGGAGTGTTGAACTTCATTTACTCCTTTAATTTGGGCTGAAGCGACATTAACACACAGTGTAGGCTGTAACACATACCCACACACTCTCCAGTTCACTGAATGATGGAGCAAGGATGAGAGAGTGCTTTGAATGAAACCTAGAGTACCTCTACATTGTCGAAATACTGTATATACTCATGTATAAGTCTAAAAAATTTAGTCAAAAAATTGACCCCAAAAATTTGAGTCGACTTATCCACGGGTTAATGTAAGTACTGTATTTTAATTCTTATATAAAACAAGGAACCATTCCCTGGTGAAAGTCAAGAATGTAATCTCTCCTAAAGGCATTGATGCCTTCTACTCTTTCATTCATCCAGCCTTCAGTATGAGCACAAACATTTAAGCCTGCTGGAGTTTTGTAAGTTTTTTGGCATTGCTTTCCCTTTGCTTCATCCTTTACATCCTTTGTTACATGCCCCTAAATTTCACCCTCGACCTATCCATGGATCACATCACAATCCATAATTTTGTCCCCAAAATCTGCCCTCGACTTATACATGAGCTCGACTTATAGTCAAGTATATACAGTAGTGCATTTTGACACCACTTTAAGTGCAGTAGCTCCATCCTATGAGATCCTGGAATTTGTCGTTTTACAAAGTCTCTGGGAAACTTAGATAAATAAAAATATGGGGAAAGCCTGCATATAAAGAGCTGGACTTAATGGGTTTCACACTGTTGAGACTGTGAAAGGATGTATAAATCAGATATCGAGAATATTGAGCTAAACAAGTGTTCTGTGAAACCAGATGAAGCAGAAATTAGGAGGTAGTTAAAGTTGTTGCCCATCTAGTCCCATATTTTTGGTTATTTCTCTTGTATATATACAGATGTCGGCATTATTTTGAAATATGTTTAAGCTGTTAATTTGAATGTGTGTGTGTATATATAATAAAAACTTTTAAAAAGTCTCTGCGGAGGCATGCCAAACCACCATATATACTAGACTATAAATTGACCTCATATATATTATAATATATATATATATATATATATATATATATATATATATAAGTCGAGGGCAAATTTTGGGGCCAAAATTATGGATTTTGATATGACTCCTGAATAAGCCGAGGGCCAGGTAACAAAGGATGTAAAGCATGAAGCAAAGGAAAATAATCCCAAAGAAGTTACAAAATTCCAGCAGGCATAACTGTTTGTGTTCCCACTAAAGGATGGATGGATGGATGAGAGAGTAGAGAGGGATCGATGCTTCCTTTCACCAGAGGATGGTTCCTTTTTTAAAAAAGAGTTTAAGGTCAGTACGTAGATTGACCCATAGATAAGTTGACTCAGGGTTTTTTAAATCAAATTTTGGACTAAAATTTCGAGACTTATACATGAGTATATGCAGTACAAATTCCAGGATTCTGTAGGATTCAGCCATGGCAGTTAAAGTGGTGCAACGCTGCATTATTTCTATAGTGTAGATGCATCCCTTGTTGCCACACTTTGCATTTTCTCCCATTTTAATCAAACCATCTTCCCTATTCTAATACTCTTCTTAAAACAATGGAAAAGACTGCTTTAGGAGTTGGTCATCTCTGATCAGCTTATATTGTTCGGTACAAATAAATAATGCAAACCGTGCGGCTCTTCCCATGCGGCTTTTTCAGTATATGATATACAACTCTTTTATTTCCAGTTGTCAGTGTGGAAAGTTTGGGGAGTACCAAAGCACCTCATCTCTATTGATCCCTTCAGCTTTCCTACTTCCAAAATTTCCAGGGGTTTGTTGTCCACAATTTTGTAGAGGTTATCTATCGCTGCACCCATATGGACTAGTATCTTGCTCAATTTAATTTTTCTTTTTCAATTTGTGCCTTGTATTTTGGACTGTTGGCCTAAGTGAGCCGCAGTTGTCCATAAACTTGGATGCCAAGCCCAATTTCCTCTTCCTTCTTCTCATTTTCACATAGTTTTCCCCTTATAGCATTTTAATTTTTTTTAAATCCTATTAGGTTCTTAGAGGGCTCTTTTATCATGGAAAGGCAGGATATAAGTGACTTATGTAAAGACATGTAAATTTCAACCCATTTTGTAAAGTGTCTCCCACATCTTCATATCCGAGCAAAGGAATTTTGATAACTTATTCCGCTCTGGGCTTCTTTTAAAAGAGTTTGAGGAGACCAGGTATCCCCAGTGGTTTTATTAGCATGTTGTTGCCTGGCTAGTATTTTCTCCAGCTAGCCCACTTGGCGTCATTTAGGTTGGCATTCAAAGTATTTTTCACATTTTTATCTTTTTAACTGTATTTTATTCTTTTAACATGCAATTTGTTTTAATACTTTAATAACTTAATTCTGTTTTAATGTACCATTTTTATATGCTTTTAATTGTACTGTTTTTTAATGTTAGTGAGCCACCCTGAGTCCCAGTTTTGGGAATAGAGTGGGATGATGATGATGATGATGATGATGATGATAATAATAATAATAATAATAATAATATCATCTAGGCATACAAGCCTTCTTGCATTTTATTATTATTTATTATTATTATAAAATGTGAGGAAGAGGCTCTTCTCAGCTATGTCCCAACTATGATGGTGGGGCAGGTGACGAAGACAAGAGACAGCCTTGAATGGCAAGAAATTATTTATTATTATTATTATTATTAGGTCTGATCAATGGCCGACCCTAAGCATTGCAATTCTTTCCCGACAGAGGTGACTAATGGCAATGTTGCTTTTCGCAAACCCATGCTGGAGAGAGTTGTAGGGGAGAAAACACCATGAAATGCAGGAAAATGAGAGATGTACTCTGGTGTTTTAGTGTTGCATTCAATGCTGGAAACTCTGGCTACAACAAAAGAGAAACAGAAGAATCAGCTCGTGAAGAAGGATTTCCCCAAAAGACGTCAGCAGGGCAAATAAAAGCCTTCTAAACAAGAGCATGGCTCAACAGCATTTTGTGCCACTAAAACACCCGAGTCTCTCATTTTCCTGGGTTTTTAAAGGAGCCACTCCGGGGTTTTTTGAGAGCTATCCGTAGTGCTGAAACTAGTTGGGAAGTCAGGTTCAGGACCATGGATAGCTCCACAGAAAACCCAGACCAGCTTCTGGAAATGTCTGCATGGAAACACAGTCCCAAAGCAATAGGGTCACCAAATGCCAGCCTGGCACCCTCTTTTGCATTGCAAAATCCTTCCCATTTAACCCTTGAGTTAGGAAGCTGGGATGCTGCCTTGTATTTAGTTACAGCCTTGGTCCACCTAGCGCAGTATTGTCAGTTCTGAGTGTTAGCAATCCCAGCCACCCAGATTTTCAGGCACGTTTCGTTCCTAACCCTACCTAGAGATCCTTGATGCACACCAGAAATCCTTTTTTATTTAATCCCAGCAGGGGGAGTTAAATTCAGAGACTGCAGTGGGAACGCCAGGTCTTAAAAAGCTGCCTCATTGACCAGGTGGAAACAAACTGAACCTTGCAGCAAGGAAATAAGAGGAGCACTCGCCTCCTGTAAATAGCGGCGGCCGTTGCCCTGCCTGCCTACGTTGAAATGGATAGAAAGGGAGGAACATAGGAAGGTGCACACTGTTACAGAGTCAATCTATCTCTGTATTACTGTGTATGGCATAGTGGTTTGAGTGTTGGACTACAACTCTGGAGACCAGGGTTCGATTCCCATCTCGGCCATGCAAAACCACTGGATGACCTTGGGCAAGACGCATGCTCTCAGCCTCAGGGAAAGGCAATGGCAAATTTCTGAACAAATCTTGCCAAGAAAAACCCATGATAGGTTGGCCTTGGGGTCGCCATAAGTCGGATACGACTTGAAGGCACACAACACACACACACACACACATGTAAATCCATGACACAAGTGGAGTCATTGATGGCTGCTCAATGGGCTTTCCAAAAGGGATCCTGTTGTTAAACTTGTATTTTTTTTCTTTTTGAAAAATGTCTGTGTTAGAAACTCAAGAATGGCTTGAAGAATCTGAGTCTGATGGAGAGGGAGAAGTGGAAGGTGCAGAAGGAGGAGAAGAGGAAGAAGATGAGGAGGAGGAAGAGGATTCTGATGACGATGAGAGTGGAGATGAAGATGAAGGTAACTGTATAGCAGAAAAGGCTGGAAAAGAGTACGGCTTGGAATTAATGTCTTTGCATTTAACACATAAAATTTTGGAATGACATGGATTTGTTTGCATTTAACACATGAAATTTTGGAATGATATGGAACGTATTTGCATTTAGCACGTGACATTTTGGAGTGACATGGAACATGTTTGCATTTAACGTGAAATTTTGGAATGACATGGATTTGTTTGCATTTAACACGTGAAATTTTGGAATGACATGGAATGTGTTTGCATTCAACGCATGAAATTTTGGAATGACATAGGTATTATGATGCTCTGTTTGGAAAGGCAACATCATGGCTGGTAATGTCATTACCTTTCAATGTTTACTGAGGATCACTTTTATGTAAGGGCTCAATTGGTGCCAATGTTGCTTTCATTCTGGCACCAAACTGGTTTTGTTTATTAAAGCCTTTGAGGTTCAACTGCTTTTGTTCAAATCCACACATGTACATGGCTTTAAACAATTTTAAGCTACAGTACTTTAATCAGTTTTATCCTCCTTTCTTTTATTTATTTCCTGGATTTATTTATTTCAAGGATTATTTTCAACTTGTTAAAATAATTTAATGCATTTTTAGCCTTTTGAAATCATGTTGTGTGTTTGGTAGACAGAAGGCAAGATATAAATATTTTAATAAATAATAAATATATACTTCTAAAACTTTGGGTGGCCATTTTGGGCCATTTTTCTATTTTGAACAGTTGTTGCATTTTAAAACACAATGTATAGGTAATAATTCAATACTTTGAAACAGAAAGGAATAATTCCTGATAGATTACTTTTTAAAAAATTATTCCATAGTGTGGAAGAGAGTCCCCATATTTTTAGGGGTTCCAGTAAGAAAGAGATCTTGTTTCATGCATCTCTGGCTTTCTGCTCCAAATATTGGCTCTGAAAACAGATTAGGAAATGAACTGCAAGGTAGGTTCAGATTTCCCCCCTTGAGAAGCTGGTTTGACAAAATGTTATTCTTTGTGATTTGGAGAGCAAAATACAGCAACGCTGAATGTTACACGTTATTCAAAGAACTAGTTGTTTTTCCATTTACACACACACACTTATTTCTACCAATGCTGTGTTCAAAACAGTGTTGCTACACATCCAGACGAACTGGGCTTGAGGTGGTTCTATGAGTCAGTCAAGGCTGAAGATGAGAACTGATGCCTGGAATTTAAATGTAGGGCTCAGAGCTCCAGTTAGCCATCTCTCCAGTGCCACCACCATCATTACCAAAAGGAAAGTTCAGGTTCATGAGAAGACAGCATTTGTCCAGCTCTGGAGGGCTGCTGCATCTGCTGGAAGAGCAAGAGGAGAAGCTACTCAGGGAATGAAGAAAGAGTTGTCTCAGCTGCAAGGGGAAGCGAAACAAGGGCTCTTTCCAACCAGGAGAGTGTCCTCCTTTCTCTTCCCCTTGCATCTGAGAGTGGACACTTTTTCGTCTCTTGCATCCTCTCCTCCTTCGCCAATAAATGGCAGCAACAGCAGATCCCTGAGATTTGACTGCTATTGTTGTGTGTGTGTGTGGGAGTGCTATTGGACAAAATAAATGATCCTGGTGTTCCATCCAAAAGAAAGAACGCGTGCATATAATTCAGAATTATGCACACATGTGTTACCAAACAAGATTTCCAGCCCTCATGAAGGCAGCATCTTCTTAGACCCAGAAGGGGAGACAAGATGTCCTTTCTCTTGCAATGCTGATTGCTTGTTCTCTTTCTCTTTCTGTCCTGTTGCCCCATGAAAGAGGAGGAAGAACACCCCGCCGTACAGCATGATGAAAAGTACGCAGACTACCTCTCTAGGACGGAGCAGTACTGGGTGAAATTGGCCCGCCAGAACATGGGCCCCGATGCCAAAGAGAAGAAGACGGTGAAAGTGGGGCATGCAATGGCCAAGGCCTTCTATGAAGGGTCTGCCTAGGTTAAGACTTTTTCTGTGCTACTCATAATGAGTGTTGGAATAACGGTTGGGACTATTAAGAGTGTTGCTGCCATGTCATGCTAAATGGACCAGACATCTCCACTTCTTCTTCCTGGCCTTGCATGATGGGCTTTGTCGTACCTGAAGAATGCATTTGTCGTTTTGGAGGCTGATACTGTGCAACATGGTTGGTTGAATAAATAATTTTTAAAAAACAAAATGTTGGAAGGTCTTGACTTTTTTTTTTTTTTTTAGGTAGGTTGTTGCAATTCGGGAGTCTTACAAGAAGCTGATCTGCATCCCTAGGAGATGCTTGTGATAACAGCTTTTCTGGAAGGCAAGGAAAACCAGTGTTTGAAATAAAAATGTATGTGTGGTTGTAGAGTTGTTCAAGGGAGATCCTGATAGACTTACAGTAGTTACCAAACTGGTCCTTCAGATGTTCTGGACTTCAGCTCCCAGAATTCCTGACTACTGGCCCAGCTTTGTGGGATGTCTGGGCATTGAAGTCCAAAATACCTGGAGGACCAAAGTTTGGGAACTTGTGATAGAGGAATTGGAAGGACCTCACAACCAAGCAAGGCATTTTGTATTTGTGCAAGACAAGGTCTTGGACCATCAGGCATAACTATGATGATGGAGCGCTATCATTGTTGCTACCTCTGATAATGCTATCTTCCCATCCATGTGAATTCTACTTTTTCAGCCTGGATGAGCCCCAGTTGAAAGGTTTCCAAAGTGCTACAGATCACAGTGGAGAGGAAATACCTAGACTCCCATGGCGTTGTTGCTGCAAAACATGGATTAAGCCTTGCAAATTGGAGCAAGGTGCTGGTCTGCCCCCTGAGCTGGAGATTTCGCCTTCAGCTGAGCCCATCAAAACTGGAGAATTTGCACCCTTGACTCCTCCCTGGAGATAACTACAAAAATGGGAGACTTAGAGCCAAGTTTACATAAATAGTATGCAAAGGAATACCACCACATTTTGGCCTCCTTTGGGCCATTTTAGGTCCAGGGGAGGCCCATTCTTCCAAAAGGAAGTGGCCCCGAAGTCTACAAATCCCAAGATTCCATAGGAGGGAGCCATGACAGTTAAAGGGGGTATCAAAGTGTTGTAATTGTTTAGTGTGAATACACCCAAGACCAATGACAGAAGCCATGACAAAGTACTATCAGACTCCGTGTAGTGCATATACATTCAAGCAGGAAAAAGACTGGCATATTTTTGGGAGAGCATGGAGGTTATTTTCCAATCTGCAACAGGATTCTTCTTGTTGAAGTAAGGACCAAACAAGGATGCTGTGGCCCTTAATGCACCATGGAATATTTCTGAGAAGATTCAACAGAGGAGTCAAAACCCAAGAAACCCAAACCCCGCAAGGGCCAGAAAAAGAGAAAGAGAGAAAGAAAGAAAGAAAGAAAGAAAAGACCAAGGCAGGAGGCATCTTACAAAGATGTTTTTTTTGAACCATACCAAAATTAAGTGATACATAGAGGAGGGGGAAAAAACAAACAAACAAACGAAAATATAAAAAGAGCATTACATACTCGGAGGCTGCTGTTGTCAATGATGGTTGGTTGGTTTTTTTGTTTTTTCTGTTTTTGAACAGGGATTATGTCGGAAGCTGGAATATACATCCTGCGGACAAAGTGCAAAAATATTACATGCTCAGAGGCCAAGCATGACGCCTGGAAGTGGCCAGTGGCAAGATGGAAGGGGGGCCACCGTCGCCCTCCCCAGACACAGAAGGGAAGGGACCCTCCCCCCCGAACCCCGATCTTGAGGAAGGGTCTTCCAGCCAACCTCCCACCCAAGGGTGCCTCCCGGGAAGAGGAGGGAGAGGTGAGGCCAAAGCACCCAGGTGGCTGTGATTCGTGACGGAAGACGGCAAGCAAGGTTTCTTTCTCCTTTCGCATCTCTCCCCCCACCCCAGCACCAATCCTGACCCCGAAATCCAGGCCCAGCGGGGAAATGGCCCATTGACCAGCAAACCCAACAAAGTTAGGAGTCTCGTTTACAGCGAGATTCAATCATTTCCCCAAAGACGTTTGGTCCTCTTTATAAAAAAGGGAAACGAAAAGGAAAAGGCTTAGTTTGGGTCAAGTTTGAACACAGGCCAGAAACGAGGGATGTGTAAACTTGAATAAGCATTGGACGAAAATTGTAACTTTCCCGAATGACGGGTCTAGGATTACAGTCGGACCTCCACATTTGGGGCTTTGACTTTTGCAGATTTGATTATTTGCGGTTCCCATTAATACGTTCTCTCCAGGAATCTTTAGCATCGGTCCTCCAGCGCAACTCTGCCAAAAGTTGACCATAGAGTTACACTGGAGAACCTAGAAGTTCCTAGAGAAAGCATTTCTCTAAGCATTTGTAGGTCCTCCAGCGTGATTCTATGATCACCTTTTGGCAGATGTTGACCACAGAGTGGCGCAGGAGGACCTGGAGGTTCCTAGAGAGGTACTCTTTCAGGTAAAAGGAATAGTCTTTTTTTTTTTAAATTTGCATTTTTTCCACATTCACGGGGGTCCTTCACCCCTAACCCCAGCAAATGTGGAGGGTCCACTGTATTATTTTTTAAACTTCTACCTATAATTTTATTCTGGGCAAGATCCTACAGAGGAGG